ACCCTTCTGGTCCTGGCCCCAGCATTCACCAGTTGAGGATGCCTCAAGCCAGGATTCTTGAGCACCTAGCTCACTCTCTCTCTCACGGGTCCACCTTCTTGACCCTATTATGGGGTTACCCACCTGGTTGTGGGAGCTGGGGTTATTCAGGTGCCCCAACCAGCTTTTTACTGGGGTGATAACTGGCCTGGCATTTCCTGGGGACTGCCACACCACCAGAAGCCCCACCAGGCAGGGTACAGTTTTAGGTCATGCCCAGGACCAAGAGCCTCCTAGCCATCCCCAAAAGCTCTTGCCTTTACCTCCTGGTTGTTCCTGCTGCAGCTCAGCTAGACGATGTTTCTGCCTGGGCCAGCAGCAGCAGACTGCAACCTTTATATACTACATTCTCAAGATAGCTGCCACCATCAGGCTCCTGCTGGATGCCTGACCCAGCCCTTAAAGTGACAGGCACCAACAGTGCCCTGCCACACTCTGGATACATATTTGCAGATTTAAGGGAAAAAAAAAGAGAAAAATTGAATATTCTTTTATGCATAACAAACAAACCAATGGATTTGCCACTTCAAATTTCATCAGATAATACCAGGCCTCCCATTCAAGATGTCCACTTATGCATATACTTAACTTTCAACATCGGTATAACTGCCCTGAAGTTTATGAAAGTTACTTTTATGATTAAAAGTTAAGTACATACTTAGTTGCTCCCTAGGAAAAGGACCTAGCTATCTAAGTATTGGACTGTACGCATGCTAAATGTAGAGTTAGTAAACGTAGCAGAGTCTTCCTTTTGTATGGTGCTGTTGAGATCAGTGGCCTTTACTAGGAAATATGAGAGGCAGCAGATTGGGCAGTGAAGCACATGGTTAATGCAAGTTCTCCATTTTCTCTATAAAAGTTCCCCCTCAGTCTTCTTTTCGCTAGACTAAGTAAGCCCAGTTCCCTCAGTCTCTCCTCAGAAGTCATGGGCCTCAGACCCCTAAACATTTTCATTGCCCTCTGCTGGACTCTCTCCAATTTGTCCACATCCTTTCTGTAGTGGAGGCCCAACACTGGACACAGTACTCCAGGTGTTGCCTCACCAGTGCAAAATAGAGGGAAATAATCACTTCCCCTGGTCTGCTGGCAACATGCCTATGAATGCAGCCCAGTATGCCATTAATCTTCTTGGCAACAAGGGCTCATATACAGCTTATTGTCCACTGTAACCCCCAGGTCCTTTTCTGCAGAGCTGCTGCCTACTCAGTCAGTCCCAGCCTGTACCGCTGCATGGGATTGTTCCATTCTAAATGTGGAAATCTGCAGTTAGGGTATATATTATATTTAACACGTGTGTGTACATTATAAATAATATATATTACACACACACACACACACACACACACACACACACACACACACACGATTTTCCAGCTTTCCTTTCATATGCTTGAACTTCTTTTTTTTTAAGTTACACATTTGGCATCAGTAGAGTAACTAGGTGTGGCAAGAAGGGTACCAGCCCCTGGCACTATTTGGAGAGGGTGCCACCCCACGCCCTAGCAACCAGAACTAGGTAGGATGGATGGAATCAACCCAGCCCTGGTCTCAGCAAGACAGCATACAAAGAGTTGACACTGGTCCCAGCACCACCCGCTGCAAGGCAACATGCAAAGGCCCACCCTGCCCCCTGCCCAGTGAAGCAGCATGCAGGGAGCCAGCCCCAACAGAAACAGCAGCAGCAGCTGCTGCTGTCAGTTAAGATCCTCCCATGTTTGCTCCTCTACCCCCTCACCCACTACTCTCAGGCACTTAGCACAACACCTCCCCATCTCTGGCCAGGGAACAAAAATTGCTAGTTATGCCTCTCTGTGGTTTATCACATTTGCCCTGGAGTGGATACTACATATTTAAGGACTGCATTCTTCCTTAAATCCCACTGAGATCCTTAAGGCCAGCCAAAAGCAACTTCCTCCCAGTACCATAAATACAACAAGTTTTCTTGGCAAAATTATGTGGGAGATCATTCTCAGTAGTTGCCCCCTCAGCTCTAGGACTCCTTCCCCCTTGAGGCCTGCTAAAATTTGAGCCTGAATATCTTCCAGAACCAGATGTTTAGACAGCCTGATGAAGGGTGTTTGTACCCAAAAGCTTGCAAAGAAGAATTTTTCCAATTATTTTAGTTGGTCTAATACAAGATATTGGATTTACCCAAAGAACGCTGTCTGCCAGAAGCATTGTAAGACCTTCCTATTTGGATAGGCACTTAGGAGGCAAGGCTAAAATGGGACACTGTTTAAGGGTGCTTTGCTATACAGTTTATTTACTCTATTGGCTTTTATGAGCGTTTTTGTTTCTCCTGTTCACTTGTTTTATAATGTATTTTCTTGCTTCCTGCAAGCTTCCCTCAACCTTTGTTGGGCAGGGTGCAATATAAATCTGACAAATAAATATTACATATATAGTTACAGACATGTCATCACAAATAGAAAGATAATTATGGAATACCCTTAGTTATGCAGAACATTGAAAAAGTTGTTTTTTAACTTCAATTCTGGTGGCTGAGACATGAAGTGGTTTTAAATTATTTACTATAGTTTTGCAATACCATTAAACTTGCTACCCAGACTATAAAAAGGCCTATCTGCTGTTATAGGTGACTTTGTTACTTATATTGGTGACTTTTTCCTGTTATAGTTACCCTAGTACAGCCCTTTTAATGGACACACAATATGCTACTCTGTGCCCAAGCTCACCTACTCTTTCTTTTCTCAAAAGACAAGGCACATCTGCCACCTGCTCTAGTCTGTGTCCCAGCAACAACTGTCGAGCAGCAAAAAGATTGATTATCAGTCAAAAACCATTCAACAACACCAGATTTTGGTAGGTTAAGCTTGCTGATCCAGCAAGAGATGGTGTGAAATTTTCAGTAGTGTGTGCCAACATTTTGGTGCTAAAAGAACAGCAGTGCATGTCACAAAGAAACACAGCCAAAGATATGCAGACAAAGCACAGAAGTTTGTTTTGAACTTGGCTTGAAAGAGGGAGGGGGGAGAGAGAAAAGAATTGCTTAATGAATTTGAAAATCCACTCTAATACCCAGTCATGTGCATAGAAAAACTATAATAAAAGTGAAAATGCTCAGAAGATTTTATAGCAAGTCATGGCCATATAAAAATACTGTAACATTTGCTTTATTTCAGTGTCTTCAAAGAAATGAGACAGAGATATTTATTAAATGTAGTTGTATTTAATGAAGCAGTCAAAGCCTCTCTAATATATCCTTAAGTATGTTAGTCTGACTGGGCAACACACACATACTAGAAAAATACAAAGATCTTTATCTGTCTTATTGACTATATAGGCTGTTAATTAAATAAAAAGTAGTCACTGACTCTTCTAGATCATAGGCAGGGTGATTTTCATATTATCTTTAAAACCATATCATATGCATAACAGATGATACAGGAGATAGAGATTACTTATTATCATAAATATAATTTGTGAAATGTTTATGGGAGCTTGAGATGAATGTATTTATAGGATCTGGATTAATTGGTGGAGTAAAATCTAAACACTTTCATCACTCATGAATAACACCATAGCTATGTAAATGAAAGGCCTATTTTAGCACATAAATCATATCAAAGACTACTGGTCAATGTTATTTATGTATTCAGAGACATTTATATAGTACTCATCATTACTCTTCACTTCTACATGGACTTTATATTAAAGCAATTACTTTCTGTATGAAAAGAATAAGCAAAGTTGTTCTGAATTTTTTCTTGAGTTCAGGAATAAAAACATTTAGTACTACAAACAGTTATGCTATTATCTCCACTTTCATAATAAGAGGCACTTAAATCATATTTGGAAAAATAAACTAAAGGGGCTTTTAAAAAAAAAATGAAGGAAAGCGTAACTAACAACATAAGAAAAAACTAAAAAAAGGTCCATTAGTGCAAAAAAAAAAAAAAAAAAAAAAAAAAATAAAGCATACACATCAGCTGAATGCTTTATTCATTTTCTTACCCCAAGGTCTTTCTTAAAATGTATTCCATTGCTCTTTTAGTACCTCAAACCTATCCCAAATATAAATATAATGTAGCATATATGATCCAAATCAAGGTATATTTTCATATTATAATGGTATACCTACAATATACGTTGATTTAAAAAAAATAAAAGTTTTAATCAGCCATCTAATACTGGCAGTACATTAGCCAGCTACATTTTTCACATATGAAATTATTAGGTATTTATCATAAGTACCAGCTGTACTGATCATTTAAAAGAAAATATTTAGTATATATTTTGACTGAGGCAGAACACAATTTAAATTCATTCTCTGAAAAGCTTTTTAAAAATTGGTTGTACAACTATATTAGAATACATCAACTTAAAATATGACTAAGAATTAAATATAAAAGCCAATTTCAAAAGCAAGCGAGTCAGAAACAGTAATATTTTCCTCTAGAAAAATGTCAGCTGGTAACCATACTGGGAAAGGGGTGAGATAGGGGGAAAAAGGTTTAATGTTCATTGTACTGTACAATTTTAAAACATGCCGAGTTAAATATTCCACATTACTTTATAAAATTTCTAGTAATTATTGTAATGATATCTTTATAAAGGTCAAATGTCTAAATTAATAAATGCAATCTTAAACTCTGAACTTTTTCTTTCTAGTGTAATAAGCCTAATGAATTGTGTCTATTAGGTGTCACTGAAACTAAACAGTAAATTCAATAATCTCTGATTTAATTTATTATATTTTCACCATTTAACCTCCTGCAGGCTCCCTAATGTCTATTCAGATCTATATTAAATTAAGCACCAGTGCTAATGAAGGGCAATAAACGTGGCTGTCAGTAGATTTTTCTTTCATTAAGCACATTATCCTCTTACTGAGCTGTAAATGAGTAAACATTAGTTTTGTTAAACCATGCAAAAAAGACAGGATGAAAATCATTTTTAATTGCACCCCTTAAGCCATTTACTGTTTGTTTTTCTTTTACCTTTAATTTTTTTGAATGGATCTAAAAAGGGCTTTCCAGTTGAAATATAAACGTCGGCATCATGGGGTATGTCTTTAGGTTCTAGTGCTTCAGTGCCGTCTGCCAAGAACACTCGTCGTGCAGCCATGTTCAGATTCAGCTTTTCAGTGCACTCCTCCAGCAGCTAAATGAATGCAAGAGGTAAGGAATATTGATTACAACAGAAAAATATATCTGTGTTATGATGACTATATAGCCAGAAAAGCAAAACTGGAAATTAGAAATCCACTCTTAAATGACTTAGCAACCATGCTAATTGCATTATAAGTAACTCAGTATTTTTGCATTCTTTGTTGGCACTTATCAGATAGCAGACTAATGAAAACATAACAGAAAACACACAAAATTACAAAGATTTTTAAATGTTATTATTATAATCTAGATTTTTATTCTCACGTAATACTACAATGTTATGCATAAACTCAATGTTCAATACTCTGCAGTGCTCTGTAACTTTAAAGTTCTTAACTGTTCCACGATTTTCTATATAATATACACATACTACAAAGAAGAATGTTAATATTTGCTAATTTTAAATAAAAAAAAATCATTCCTTTCTTTATCTTAGTTATAAAGTACAAACTATAAGTCAAGTTAATGCATACACAAAACTTTGTATTAATAATTACCAGTTTAATGGATGGTACAGCAACTCTAGTAAAGTCACTCCTTGTGCCATTCTTATAAGCTGTTACTTTGATTACCCTTGGTTGCTGTTTAATAACTTTGGACACTGCTGATCTCTTCTGGGCTTCCTGGAGTCTTGAGGAAGAGAATTTTGTATATCTGTTGCAAACAAAACCCATTTAACTTAAAATCAGAAAAATGTTTTATTTGTGTGTTTTGTTTACAGCAACTATTACTATGGATTTTGTTTTGGATAGTTATTTAAAAATTGTATTTCTAATACAACTCTTCAATGTTTCTCCAAATTATACATATTTAATTTCAAATACTCAAGTTTTAAAACAGATACATAACAAAATTAGATTCCTTTGAATCTAAAATATTTAGAATTATAACTTTCATAAATGTAGATCATTTTTTATATTTAGCACATCTTATTTGTAAAAGGGCACACTCGAAGGCCATTTGAATAATTCAATTGTAAAGCTGTTTATGTAGCAGCTTCAGAGCTTTTTTTATTATGGCCTTTGCAAAAAAAGAGGATACCCTTAATTTTAAATGATTCACCAGTTCCATCCAGATTTAACTACATTTTATAAACACCATCATTATTCTAAAAAAAATTAATAACATTTCAGTATTTTCAGTGCCCAAAAGAATTGCTTTATAATTACATATAAGTTAATGCTTTGCTTTTAGTTGACAAAGTAAAAACTGATGCTGCAGTCATTACTCAGGCAAAATTGCCATTCACTTTGATGGAAATGATGTCTGTATAAAGTCCGCAGAATGAGGTTTAATGTCATTGTTTCTGTTCTTCAGAATACAAAATATATTCACAGCAATTAGTAGAATAAAGTACAATTCACTAACATTTAATGAGGAAAAAAATATTCTCAGTATTTTTTTAAAATAGTTAAACCCACAAGCAACTCCTCTGCAGGGCTACTAGAAGCTTGTTCTTAGAAAACAAATACATGCTCACTGCATAATTATAGCAAGACTATATGTTTTATTGCAAACATTTTTAAGATAATGGCCTTAGCCTATACTGAGCTCACTGCAGATACAGAGATCAACCCATAAAAGAACTCGGTGTGGGCATTAGGCCTAAGCATTTGATTCAACTCTTACTCCCGTCAATGGGAATCTTTCCCTCTATTTTCTTGGACACGTGCTTGGTCCCTTAAGCAACATGTACTTTATATATTTAACCTTACTGTACAAATATTTTACAATTTTCAGGTTCCTTGAACTGCAATTGAATTAATAATTCAGGGACTTTATTTGGAGAGATGTCTGATCCTTTATTTTCTTTGGTAAGCCAGTCCTAAAACAAGGCATCTCATTAAAGTCAAGGGGACAGCTTACGTGTACAACTGCTCATCCATATGCATAAGGAATTCAGAATCTGGCCCTTTGCAAGGAGTTATTACAGTTTATAGTTTTTTTGCATGAAAGCACTGTAAAAATATACACACATACGATATTAACTGGCCATATTTATCTTAATATTTACATTTATCAAATAAAGCACTGCTGATATTTTTCCCCTTGCCATTTTTACTTTAAATATTGCAGATTGTATATATAAAATCCTAGTGGAGTTGAACTATGGATTAACTTCGACCTTTCTTATCTGATTTCAGACTTAAAAAATGTTTATACTTAGGGCAAGGAGAAGCAATCATTTACTTCAACATATACAATTCTGTTTCAATTTTAAAAAGTTATTATTACTATACTTGTAAAGACACTTACAAATACAATTTTGATTATAAAAACCTAAATAGTTTTAATCCTGCCTAACTGAGATCATGCCTGTTCCCTATGGAATTTTCTATGCCATTCAACACTAACTTGCCTCATGAAAACAGAAGGTGCTAGTGACAGGGGTCTGAGACAGAAGTTCAATAGACTGATTTAACCTAAATCAGTTAAGTCTCATACTACATCCATCCAAGTTTATCTTAAACTAGTTTTGGCCATTTTAAAAGCACTTTAAGTGCACTGAACTTCTGCTGTGTTACAGATTTGAACCAGTTTCTGATCACTTATACCAGTCTGTGCGCAACTTCTGTCCCTAGATGAGGTGCTTTTGGTGAGGGATCTTGACTTTGGAACATTGGTTCCCTAGCACCTGGATTTGGTGAGCTTCACAGCATACGTCAATAAAGTCACCTGCTTTCCCAGAACTTTTCATTACAACACACAAGGGTAATTTATCCCAGGGTACATGTTGGGGAGCTGTTTAATTACTAAGGGCAAAAAAAATCCCTGAAGGATATTATGAGACCTAATATTAAGTGCATTGTAAGCTGCAGTGGCAAGCTGGGGTACTTATTTTGTTTTACATCTTTCAAAGAGGGAGATTCTGGTAATTCCGTTTCATAATTATTTGATTTAAAGTATGCAGTTTTAAAAAAATTCCAGGCCTGGAAATTATTAGGTGCAACAAATCTTACTAATAAAATCATCAGTGTCTTTTATTTTTATGTTTAAAAATGTCCATTGAATTATCATTATGAGTTTTGTTGAAAGCGGACAGAGCATAAACCACCACAGTTAAAAGCAACACAGAAGAGCTTTGATTACCTTAACTGACCTGTGGGAGCACTGACAGGTCTGTTTCTCTTGGATGGTGATATAAGGAGGAAATTGTTTGTACTGTTTGATTTGTAGCTGTCTAGGTCTGGTTTTCCATCATGGCTCTGAACTGATTTTGTTTGATGTTTAGAACAATCTTGATGTCCTGACCTTCTTGATACCAATGCCGATTGAGGATGAATGTTAGGGCCAAATAGAAACTGTGTACACTTTTGTTTTCTCTCTGTATTTTTAACTAACTTTTTTGCATAGGAGGAGATACATTTTCTGAAAGAAAAAATATAGAGAAAATAGATAAAATGATATCCTTTTATGCTGGCCTATGGTTAAGTTTCACTCATACTTGGATTTGTAACAAACCAGGAGAAACTGATAAGAAACAAGAATGAGGGAACTCATTAGTTATATTCAATATATGTTTCAAAGTGAAAAGGGAAAGATACCAAATGATTAAGGCATTAAAATTTAGCCATACTAAATAGTTGATTTTGAAAGGAATCCAAGACAAACCTCAAAGAGGAAAAAAATCCAAGTGTGCTTTCAGACTATTTTAAAGTTAACACAGAGCCTTTGTTCTCTGCAACTTACTTTAGATATTAATAAAAAATAATAATCCACTCGTGTAAAAAAGTAAACTGAGATTTCATTAAATGAAAGCTGGGATTTGCAAAGGAGCCTAAATAAACTGGTCAGTATTACAGTGAAAATTGGGCACCTCATTCACTTTTAAAGTCCCAACCATTGGTTTTGTAAAAATCTAGATGGAAAAATCCCCCCCGGCTGAAAATAATCCAACAGTTAAATTTTAAAACAATGAACTGCAAGGTATGAGATTCAAACATTGCAGAACCGGGCTAGAAAAATGAAACTTATCATAAACAGAAGGAAAAAGGACAAAACTATTTTCATTGTTTAATTTTGCATTTTTATAAATACTGGCAAGGTGGAAAATAAAATGTAAATAAAAATTTTAAAGTATGATTGTTCACAGGTGGTCTGCTTTCAAAAATCTGATTTAGGAGTGAAGTTACCTGTTACCCTTAGACCATACTAAATCTGTGAAATGTTAAGTGGTGCTACAGTCTGAACGTGCGGTGAGCAGCTGCACATTAAGGCTTAACGCCATTTCTTGTCTGCACAACTCTACTTCCTCTGGTGAGCAGGGGCGTGGCTAGAAGCCAGGACACCTGTGCCCTATCCCAGCTCTGGATGTGGGTTGAGGGGACTGGGAGTGGTACATGCTTATTTTATCTCTGTGGCACAGACTGAAGTCATCTTAATATGAACTAACAAGCACGGCCAAGAGTTAAACCTTGTCTGAAATGGTGTAATTTTGAGACAGTCAGAGGGCACTTAGCACAAATTAACCAACTTTAACATGTGGACACTTGCATTTTAAATGCCCTTAATATGGGCTAAGGGTAATGCATAACTTCACCCTAAAATAAAACTGAGGAAGAGCATTTTGCACCCAAATCCTTGTCTCTCTCTCTAACTATATAGGTTGGTTCAATAAAATATATTTACCAAACAAATCCTGCCTCTAACCAAAAATGGAGACATTTATTTCAAAATAATTTGAATCTGATAGCATCTTATTAAAGATAATCATATCTTCCCTGTATCTTTTTAAATAGTACAGATAGTGGTTCTGTCCCCCTTTCTTCCTGAAGTTAACTCTAAACTTGGAGATCTGATTCAAGTCCTCACTCAGGACATAAATGAAACTAGACTGTAACAGTTTTATCTGAGCACCCACTTGTACATGTTACAAAAATATTATAGAATTTAGCTCAAAAAATCTTTGTGTAAAAAAAAAAAAAAAAGTCTAGAATTGGTATTGCAGGTAAGTGTTCCAGGTAAGGATTGGTGAGACTAAGGCAGCCAGCACACTTTTACTCTATATTAGTTGGGCCTTTCTTGATTTACTTAAAATATACAATAAATGCACTTATAACAAAAAACAACAGTAATCATGTCGAAAAAATAAAAAGCAAAACAATAGAAATAAATAAATGAAAAACTATAAATTTGAGGCTAATATTACCTTATGTCACAGAATGAAATGAAATCACAGACTGAACGACTGGAATTAATATTGATCTAGATCTCACAATTTATTTTTATCCTTTCTGACAATTTGAGGGCATTTATTCTCAATAACAGTTACTGTGGAGTTGCAGCAACATCAAAGATCAGCAGAAGCAACAGAAGAATATGACAAAGTCAACTCCTCAGTCTAACTTGCAGCTTTTCATAATTCATGAGGTTAACATTGTTCCCATGAATTACAAGAGCCAGGTGATGTCACACCATTGAATTACAAGATATTTTTTGCATGGTTTGCTTTACATTTATCATAGCAATCCATATACCATATGCCAAAATACTATGATTAAATGAATGTTAAGGATTTGAATTAAATCAATGAAAAATGTATTTATCATTAAACCTATAAACATGCTGGCATGTCTTTTAATTTCTGATTAAAAAGACAAAAAGGATTTTAACACGTTTAAGTGCTTTGTAAGGTAACATCCAAAGTCCCATGACTATTGAAATCTATTGGGAAGTGGAAGAATGGCTATACAACCATAACACTCTTTTTATTATGAAATCTATTCAATCCCAAATATTTATCAAAAAATATTTTGTATTAGTCTTTACTCTAGATTCAATTATTGTTTTCAGAATATTAAATGTTCTGTCAATATTAAACTTGGAAAAGTTAACTCAGAAGTCAGTCATTTAAGGGGCTCACACTCAATATTTATCACTAGTGAATTCTTAGAAATATTTTTCAACACAGAGTAGTTAATAAGCCTTCTACTGGTAAAATACACCATGAAAAGAAATTAGTATAGAACTAACATTTGGACTCCATAGCTCTTCTGTAGCATTTTCTTAAAATTGCTCATCATCATTTATGCAGATTCATCAGTGGACATAAAGTGAAAGAGAACTAGCATACATAGGTTGCAACAGCTTATAGTACTAAGTTAATTTTTGGTTAACGTGCTAACACTTAGTCTACACTAAGTTCCATAGCTGTTACCATCAGTAAACATACACCTGTATATTGCAATAGTAGGAAATTTTAAGAAAATGGTGAGTTAGATGCAGCTATGGTACCCAGCTCTCGGACGAAAATATATATATCATGGGGTAAAGAGCTCAGACTGTGGTGAAGAGCTACACTATTCTTATAAAAACGTGTCCCAGGGTCTGTGAAGTGACATTAAGTAGCCATGGTAAAATGCTTGATTCTGCACTCCTATTACAGTAAAATTCCTATTCAAATCAATGGGAGTTTTGCCAGCTGTGCAATAGAGCCAAAATTTTGTAATTCTATATTTGTGGCAGAAGGAAATGGCCTGCATAGGACTTGCACAGTTGAGTAAAAGATGGCGGAAAAAAGGCATCCAAGAATTCTAACAGTAGAACAAACACACACACAGAGAGAGAGAGAGAGAGAGAGAGAGAGAGAGAGAGAGAGAGAGAGAGAGAGAGAGAGAGCGCGCGAGCGTCTAATAATAAATACTAAAATCTTTAATGTCTATTTACTAGCAATTCTAGAATTTTGAGAGACTGTATTGCTGTTTCAGGAGTGCTATTTGTAATTAATATAAAAATAAATTACTTTAAGTTCTTAATCATATAATTTGATTTATTTATAATTAATATAAAAGTTTTTATTTTACTTTAATGTCCCTCAAATTGGATGTTCAAATTACTCATTAATAATTAACCAGAACATATTTCAATATATTTTTAAGTACAAAATAATAGTATTTAACTAAATAAAGCAACCCACTCAGTTTTCTGTTTTCTAAGACATTCATCTGCATGAGGCTAACAATTCTATTCATAAGTGGAAAATGCGGCTACTTTGACAGACCCTAGTTCAATAACAAGTATGCAGGTCGAAGTTATCACACAGTTTTGGATGTGAATTCAACAGCAGGATAATGACAGTTGCCAAGGATTTGTACTTGCTGTCGCTTAGTACCAGTGTTGCCTGTCAGATTGTCTCTTTTTCTTATACAGAAGCCATAGAATTTTTATGGATAGCAATTACTTACAATATACAATGAAGTACATCAAATGTAACAACCACTCTTTAGCCCTTCATTATGTGGTTGTCTCTTTGTTATATCTAGTCATTCATTTTCACCTAAATTATTTATTTATACTGTATATTTGACAAGCATGTATTTCTTGCTTTATATCCTTAGAATAGTTAAAACCAAGCTCAAGACATATAATGATTTATTTTAATATTCTTATATTTAAACTTATCTTTATCTTACTATTATTTTAATAGTAATTAAACTTGTTGGACTAACTACAACCACTACACTCTATATACAAAACTAGCTTGTATATCTCTCTACATATATATCTTCATTAAACAATGGAAAAATGAATATATTGGCCCTAACTGCAATGGAATGGCTGCACAAAGCTAATATCTATTCATACTTAGTTTGTATTATTACAGTGTTTTCCTCCATGGATCATATTTATGTTTTATACTGAAAAGTACTAATATTACTTTGTTTGTCACCAAATAACTGCATGATATAATTTTTTAAATGGTAGAGCATGCCATTTGCTTAATCCTATATCATTTTGATCCTGTGGCAGAAGAACATCTTCCCCATTGATTCTATAGACATGGTTTCATTGCAATCTGTTCTGATACCTTTACTGAAATAGACTTGTCATAACATCATCATACCACTGCTGTTATAATGCCAAGTCCAACTACGATGCATAAGAAAGTTACAGCAAACATTATATATCCAAAACAAATTCTGGCATTATTTAATTCAACAGTAGCTTTGTTATTGTTTTAAGTGGAAAGGCAGTTTTATCCTCATTTAATAGTTATTGCTTTAGTTAGGTATTGTTTTATCATGTACCTGTATATTTGTCCCTAGTGAAAAAAAAAAGATAAGTCACAAAGAACATGGTTTAATTAGGCTTCAGTTGTCTTTCTTTAACACATTTAGGAGACTACCTGTTATGCCAGGACAAAGGTGGACAGGTCTGGAGACACTCAGCGATCAAGGCACTGACTAGGTCTTGGGTAGGTAAGTGGAATCTGAGGTCAAACTGGGTCAGGAAGCCAAGAGGGCAATCCAGGAGCAAAGTCCAGGGACAAATCGAGTCCAGACACTGGGAGATCAGAGAGTAAATTCCAGGGATGAGTAACAGGGAGTGGGTGGAGAGTTAGTCCTTACTGCAGGCCTCACACTGAATTT